TGTTTCGAGTGTACTTTTTTTCAAAGTTCTGCTTATTAAGCGTCGGCTTTTAAAAGAAACCTTAACGAAATATCGGCTGCATTTAACGAAACCTTAACGAAAAAAATTTCTTTATAAAAAAAACCTGCGAAACCGCTAAATTTGACCTATATTAGTACGCAATACCCCGAAATACCTCCTCGTAGTAGTAGTATACGGAGTAGTAGCAGTCGGGCTCTAACTTGCTCCGCGTCCTTTACGTTCCTTACCCTCGAATTTCGGGACGGGCCGTCCCGAAATTCGCGATCGCGAGGATCCTATCGGATAGGATCGCGAGTAGTCGGAATTTCTAGATCGCGGCGATCCTATTAGACAAGATCTTTAACGTACGATCCTATCGATAGGATCGTCGCAATCGGTAAAAAAGTTTTCGTAACGTACACTAGTAGACTTTACCGTTCTAGCGATATATAGATGCTATAACGACGAAATAGTTAAGTATCTTAGGATAGCATTGCACCGGATAAACGAATAGAAGAATGTGTTTCGCCTATATAGGGTAATAAAGGTATAGAAAAGGGCCTAGCGGGAGGCGAAGGCTACTATACGAAGAACGAACGACCTAAATAACGACGATGCGGTTATAATAGACGAGGACGACGAAGCTAACGAGCTAATAATAATATAAATAGAAGGGCACTTTAATATACCGAAATTCTACGGTATAATATATACCCCGAGCTATATTAAGACGTTCGGCAATCTTCTAGACTTAAATACTAGCTATTTCGAGCACAAACACTATAAACTACTAAAGCTCGCATTTCGGCTAATAAACAAGAAGCCTAGCTAGGAAGAAAGTATACTAGATAGCGATACTAACAGATTGAATATATAGGCCGAAGACGACAAAGAATATATAGCAATCCCTACAAATGCTCGCACTATTAAGGAGTATACGCAACAGCTAATAATACTAACTATAGTACGGCTAGTAGAGGACATCCTAGGATACTAGCCTAAGAAACAGAGGAACGGAAAGAAATCGGTTAAGTAGATTACGATAAGGGAGGCTATAGCTACAATAGAAGAGAACTTAGGTCGCGACTTCTAATAAGCGATTGCGGTATTCGTACGGCAATAGGGTACCTACGATAAGAATAGCGCATTAAGTACCGTAGCCGACTCTAACGATATCGTAACGGACTATATATACGTCCTAGACATAGAGATCTGCTTCTACGGTAGAATCCGATACTAGAAGCCTACGGGTAAGGATATAGAACATCCTAACGTAGTAGTAGCCGACTTCGCGAGATATATACTAAACTAGGAGGGGCTCTACGGCAATAGACGTTATAATTTTATATAGGTATAGGAATACAACGTTAATTGTATAGAAACACCTAATAAATTAGCGGTTCGATTCGGCGGTCGCCTACTAGCTTAACTAAAGTACGTAATCTCGATTAATATAGAAATAGGAATTAAATATAGGAAGGGGCTTAGGACGAAACGGAGGCCCGTTATAGGCGTTTTTATTAAGCTTTACGACTATATTAACGACAAGAGCGAGTACAAGGATACGTATAGTCTAACGACAATCCGGCTACGGCGTCTTTTACCGTACTATAGTAGACTTAAAGGGCGACGGGTATATAGCCTACTACTAGTCTATTATATATTACACGCTATACCTATAGACGAAGGCGCCCCGTATAGGACTCGCTATATTAATAGTATAGTTGATTTCGAGACGTATAATACAATTTACGACGAGGAATAGGAGGATAAGGAAATGCGAGCTATAAAGGCTTACGGGCGAGTAATAAAAAGGCAACGTGCCGTATAGAGTATATAGAAATCGCACCTCCGAAATATAGAGGACAATAATACTAAGGCGGCGAAGAATGATTTTATAGTTTATAGAGAACGTATAAGATAGGATATAGCGACATATAGTAACGACGGTTAATGTAATAGTAATACACTTAAAACTGTAGTACTACTAGTATATTCTAGTTTAGACCGAGTCGACTAATACGACCGAGTCGACGAGTCGATAAGTATTAATATAGCACTATACGAATAGTATAAATACTACTAACGACTGCGACTACGAGCGACCTAGAGCGATCCTATATATATAAAAATTTACCGTATCGATCCTATCGATCGCGTCGATCGCGTCGATCCTATCGATCCTAAGCGATCCGGGCGCGAGTCGGGTCGCGACTCGGTCGCTTAGGATCGCTTAGGATCGCTTAGGATCGCTTAGGATCGCTTAGGATCGATAGGATCGATAGGATCGACGCGATTAGAAAAAAAGTTTTCGTAACGTTCTTAGTAGACTAGTTTAGCCGCTAGCGGATATAAGCCTTACGAGATAGAAGGATTAGTATAGCTTATAGCTAAGTGTTCTACGTGCCTTACTATTACTATTGCTACTAGCGGCGCTAGTCGTATGTCTTTGCTAGATAGCCTACTAGATTCGCACTCGACTAGCCCTAACTCTAGCCCTAGTTTTTCTACTACTAGCGCCGTTGCCTACGTTAGTTCTTAGTAAGGTTAGGGTTCCTAGCTAACTAGAGAAAGCTACTACTAGCGTAATAGATCGGATCTAGAGGCGCTATACGTAGAGGCGGAAGATTAGTCTTAGTATAAGAATAGCTATATTCTATCTCTTTAGCTTGTCCGTAGTCCTTATATTTAATACTAACTTCCTCCTACTTTAAGTCTATTAATAGACCTATATCCCGCGGCGGACCTTAACGAGCGGCGGCACGCATTAACTAGTAACGGTAGATACGAAATCCGCGAACTATACGCTAAAGAGTTTAGCCTTTACCTTAGCGGGCAAGCTAGCGCTAGCGGCGCTACTCCTCGAGGCGTATAGAACCTTTAAAGCTGTCTGTAACAATATAGTCCTTCTCTAGATCTTAACGTAGAATAGGATTGCTATCGCCGGTAGCGAGGCAGGCCTACTAAGGAACCTCGATAGCTTCCGAACTTCGGTATCGTCTATAATATATAGCGATAGCGATAGCGGCGGCGGAATGCGAAATGCGGACTCGAGTCTTAAATGCGATAAGCGATTAGAGCTAGAAGTCGTACTATAGAAGTCGTACTTCGGGCATAGAAGTTATTAGAACTAGTAGCGAAGCGCCGCGTTTAGTAAAGCGCCGCGTTTAGTAAAGCGCCGCGTTTAGTAAAGCGCCGCGTTTAGTAAAGCGTATAGACCTTAGTAAAGCGCATAGACCTTAGTAAAGCGTATAGACCTTAAATAGCCGCGTTTTAGCCTAGTTTACCCGATCGGCATTAGTACGTAACAACGCGACACTATTACGTATAGCAAACACTTAGAGGTTAGAGAGCGGGTAATTCTAAGGGTCCGCGTATATTTCCGCCTATAGCGAACGATAGTAGTAGTGTCGTTATAGAGGCAATCCGGACGCTATTCGTATAGCGTTTGTCTTAAAGTAGTGTTTTATAATTTTTATTCCTATATATTTAGAAATATATAGATTATTGTATAGACATTAATTTTCGTTTACTTAATACCTATAATCAATTCTAACATAACTTTTACTTAAAATGTATAGTTATTGTGCTATTCCACCTGTTTTATAGGTATATAAGGTTAATACTGCAGCTTTGCGACATTTGTCCTTAGGCTCTTCTACGAAGACTTCTTCTATACACTAGACTATATACAGAAGAGCCGAGAACCGATCGACGCTAATTGCACGTAGGTTGGGTGAAGGAAGGTAGAAGATAGAAGATAGAAGGTAGAAGGTAGAAGGTAGAAGGTGGAAGGTGGAAGGTGGAAGGTGGAAGGTGGAAGGTGGGATAAAGTCTACAAGAAGAGCCTGAGAAGGAGGTAGATTCTAGGATAAGGCCTGCATTAGCCGTGGTTGGGAGATTTGATGCCACCTCTTGTAGGCTGATGTAGCACTGCATCTGCAGTGTAGCACTGTAACCCTGCTCGATGCTTCTCCGACTCGAGCGAGCCGAAAGGCTACGTTTGCCGTATATTGCTGTCCTCGGAGGAGACTGTTGAATTGATTGAATGTTGACTCAGTATGCAACATATCAATTCCAAATGCTTGCAAGTTACAATCCAGGCCATCAATGCTCAAGCACAGAAGTGAAGAATCAAGAAATGATGCGAAAGAAGCATATTCTAGTCCACTGCCAAGATCGAAAGGAGAATGCAGTTCGAATTTTCAGGCACCAAAGAAGTTTCAGGCAAAAACAAACATTCGCTCGTCAGCTCAGCTCAGCCTCCACCATCTACATGTATTTCGTAGGATTTACTTTCTCACTCACAGAAATCACATTGTCCTCCAAGGTGACGGCACGCAGCTTCCCAGAGATGCACAAGTCGACCCCATTCCGCGGAGACCAGAGATCAATGTGCTAACGGTGAATCTCGCAGGCGGAGATGTCAACGCTGCTGTCAGTCTGTTGCAAGGCGGAATGAGTGTATGCAGGGAAGAAAGCGGGCAAGGCAATCAAGGCTGGGGCGCCGACCAACGCTAGCTTACGATCAACGGTGCAAATAAAATGGCCGAAGAAGCAGGATGCAGCGCGTATACCATTCTGCCTCTGCCACAGCCTCGAGCAGTCCAACGTTGATGCGGATGAGTCTACGGACCCGCACCGGATTCGAGGCGACTCTGCTGATGCGACACATGGCAATGCATGGCAGTCACGCTTGTTCCCAAGTATCCACATATCAAGCTGCGGATCAGGTAGCGAATCATGCACTCCCCCGCATGTCTTGTCTGCTGTCGGGCCATACTGCATACTTAGACGAGATCCAACTGCGTGGCTTGCATCCTACAGCTTGACATAACCGCGCTTTGAAGTACGACCGAGAGAGGGGGCACTCAGAGGAACAGACGAAGGCGAATTGCCGGGATGAGTACATTATGTGCGATGCTCTCCTTCTTCTCCAATACCCTGGACATTTCCACTCCCAACCATTCAGCACACAGCGTACAGGAGCGTCTTTCAAGATGACTGAGCTTGAGAAAAGGAATCTCGAGCAGATACAAACAAATGCAACCGACGCTGCAGAGCTCGATCAGCCTGTCAAAGTCGACACGGTACATGGCGATGAAGCAACCAAAGTCCTTGCCAACTACAACGGACCGCTTGAATGGGCACCAGAAGAGGAGAAAAAGCTCATTCGAAAAATCGATCGTCGACTCTTGTCGATATTGGTCTTGACGTATGGTCTTCAGTACTATGACAAAGCCATGCTGTCTCAAGCTGTAGGCCTGGGGAGAAAATCCTATTTGACGTAGTGAACCGTATTGACTCTTAGTCGTCAAGGCACTATTCGGACTTCGCGATGATTTAGAACTTCGAATTGGCAATCGATACTCCATGTCATCCGCAATCTTTTACTTGGGCTTCATCTGCGGCGCATACCCAGCAATCGTGCTCTCACAACGCTATCCCATCGAAAGAGTCATGGCAGGCATTGTTTGTCTATGGGGAATTTGTCCGTCACTCTTCTTGCTGAGTAGCTCATTACTGAATCGTTCGTCCCAGGCCTCATTTGCACCGCCGCAGTCCACAACTACCAAGCCCTATTCGCCCAACGCTTCTTCCTCGGCCTCCTCGAAGCCGGCGTCTCGCCTGGCTGGATGATGGTCGTAGGCGGCTGGTACAAGAAACGCGAACAAGCTTTCCGAATGGGAGCCTGGTACTCGGCAACCGGTTACGTCTCCATCTTCGCGCCGTTAATCAACTACGGTCTGGGTCATATCCGTGGAGCCTTGAGTCCTTGGAGATACATGTACCTCGTCGCCGGAGCCATTACAATCGCTTGGTCAGCGCTGATATATTTCCTAATGCCACCGGACCCGATCCGTGCGAAGCGGTTCGAAGAAAGAGAACGGTATATCGCTGTAGCACGACTCCGAGAGAACAATTCCGGGGTGAGGAATACGCATTTCAAGGTCGGACAGGTGAAAGAGTTAGGGATGGATTTGAAATTCTGGTTGTTGTTCTTGATTGCTTTTTTCATGCTTTTTATCAACGGTCCCGTTTCGACTTTTATCCCGATTATTATTAATCAGCTTGGATTTACCGGGTTCACGAGTCTGCTTTTGATTATGCCTGGTGGAGCCATCATTGGGACTGTGGAGCTCATGGCGCCGTTTTGTGCTATGAAGTTCAAGAACATGAGGTGTTGGATTATTGTTATTACTGTGGCTTTTTCGCTGGTTGGGAGTCTCTTGCTTTGGCAGCTTCCTATCGAGCAGACGGGTGGGAGACTCTTTGCTGTATACATTTTGGCTTTCTACGGCGGTGGCTATGCGTGTTTGATGGGATTGACGGTGGCGAATTGTGCGGGCTACACGAAGCGCAGTGTGAGTTCGAGTGGGATCTTTGTTGGTTACTGCTTGGGTAGGGGGTTTTTTTTATTCATTGTGATCTATGGTGACGAATACTGAGGCTTTGCAGGCAACTTTGTCGGACCTCTCATCTTCTACGAGAACGAAGCGCCGTACTACAACACCGGCTGGATCACGACGGTCATCAGCTTGATTGCGACGATTCTCCTGACAATCCTGTATCGATATGTCTGTGTATGGGACAATAGACAGCGTGATAAGACGGGCTCGGAAGCCTTTGATCATGCTTATGAGGATGATTTCACGGACAAGACGAACAAGCAGTTCAGATATACTCTCTGATGGGTGAGATGGAAGGAGATAGGAGGTCGGAGGTCTGCGTTTGCTAGCCAGTAATGTGCTCGAACACCAACAGAAACGATTCCATCCTTTAATTTCCTCTGCCAGAACGCTATGATCATGGTCTGAACCGCCGTGGTTGTCTGGTGCTTTCTTGGTGCTGAGGAATTCCAAACCCGCGCTGAGAATTGCCTGTAGTCTGTTTGCGCTTCACGCGTTCCATCATCATTTACATCTGCAAAAGTGTCCCGGTATCTCATGGAGACGAGTTTTCAAGCCCCATCGCTCGTGCCACCGGAACTATGCTTTGAGAATGCTCCGGGCACAACGAGCCGTCACGGCCTACTACTTGTATACAGAACTTTGAGCGACTTGTGCAACACGTACTGTAATATGGAAGTCTCAGCTACATCTTGTCGCTACGACCCAAGCGATAACTATCCTAATGGCCATAACAATTCTCAGCTTTAACAACGCTTCTTTCCGTCTCGATAAGGCCTCCTACCAGCAGCTTGGAGATACGCTGTCTTCCATTTGAGATACGTATAATATTCGCAGACGACGGAGAGATTGATTGCTGAGAAGAATGAGAGCTGGCGAAGTTCTTACTTCACTACATTGTCAGGAAGAGATTGCCGTGTGGCTGAGTCTTGTTATACGCTGATCTGACAAATGCTCCTACAGAGTTCACAGTGCGAGCTCGCCCTGAGCGGTATAATCGAGAATCTCCGCATCTCTTCATAAGATCTCGAATATCCCATCATTGATCGATTGGAGCCCGGCTTGGGATCTTCTCGGGTCAGACCGACGGCACCGTTCACATGACTACGAAGCTACTTTGATGCACTGCACTGCAGGACCTATGCAATCCTCATTCCTTTCACGCATCGACGCGCATGCCGACATTGTCGATCTCATCCACATCAAGACAGCGAAACCGAGGACACACGAGCCCTTCGTTATCAGGATCTGGATCGAGCGACGGCTAATCCAGCGTCTCGCAGGAATGGCATAATAGGGCAGACTTTGAATGAAGAGGAAATGAATATCGCCAAAGACCCTGAATCGTTCAATCCCATGTCTACGTAGGAGCCCCGAATCCTCTGAATGGAGCAGGAGAGCGAGGGCCGATGTGCCGCATACTTAGCATCTGAAACGAGGAGGGATTACTGTGCCTATAGCAGGGACAAAGAGCTAAGACAGACTCATGCGCAGTCCATGGCATAGAGCACAATAATCTGTAGGTGCACGCCGGTGTTCATCCGTCCTCTCTCATACATCATTTCCCCTGCTATTCGCTTGCACTTTTCGTATGGCGTTGGAAGGGAGTGAGGAAGCCTTATCACAAACATGTTCGGAGTTCTCCAGCTAACAGGACCAATCCATATAATGGGGCCAAATCCTAGGCGGCTCGTCAAGCGAGAGAAATGCTTAGTCAAGAAGCTTGGTCATCGTTTGCAAGCCTTTTCCTCTCTCGATATGGCAGGTAAGAAAGATTCCACAGCGTTGCTCAGAACCGTGAGGATCATGGACCCTTTCCGAAGTCGGCCGTCAGACTGGATCGCCCTGACCTGGGGCATCGATTATGATGTCTACTTCATCACCTTCCTCATTGAGCTAGCTCCAGTGAGGACAACTCTAGTCAGAGTCCGGGATTTCCGGTGAAGGAGCTCTGCGATTGCACAGCAGATGAAAATTGTAATCATCATGACCTGCATAGGCATCTCGCGGATACCTCCAGTCATGGCAGGCGATGTCGCAAGGCTGAAACTGCGTCGTAAGTACCTACAAGGTAGTGAAAGTTCACCTTCCTAGAACGGCTAATACGTTGGCACTAGTTGGAGCCGCATTCACTGGACCGGGAGTCTGTGGTCGCTCGTTGCCGAGATGGTATGTTCTATCGGTAGTCGCGAGGGTATCATCCTAAGTTCGTTCGTCCATTTCTTCGCAGCAAGCTTGTTATCCAGGAAATCTACAAGGAGTAGTCGGCATTCCTCAAATGTTCGACCCTCCTTTCCTCGAATCTTATTGCATCAACTGCTATTTCGCCACCTGGTAATAATAACTCGACACAACTCTGCGGAATGGCCGGGATGCGAAAAGACTCGCACCAATGCCATAGCATTCATCAAAGCCAGAAACATCTGAAATGGAGCAAAAAGCAACCACCAGTCTTGAAAGTCGATCCTGGAGACGTTGTAACATTCGATTGCATCGATGGTGGTAACGGACAAATCAAGCCGAGCTCAACTGCCGATGAGCTTCTCAACTTCGACGTCAGCCTCGCCGACCCGGTGTTTGGCCCTGTCTATGTCGAAGGCGCGGAGCCCGGTGACGCTCTCGAGGTGGAAGTACTCGACCTCCAAACCGAAGATTGGGGATGGACTGCCGTGATGCCAAACTTTGGCCTTCTCGCGGACGACTTCCCAGAAGCGAGTCTGAAGATCTGGTGTCTGCCGAAGGATGATGATCGCAAATTGGCTTACTTTAATGATGACATTCAGATCCCGATCAGACCGTTTATGGGAACGATGGGCGTAGCGCCTGGCGAAGATGGAGAGTTTTCCACCATTCCACCACTGGATACAGGCGGCAATATCGATACCAGGCACATTACAAAAGGCTCGAAGCTGATTCTACCTGTGCGTGCAGCCGGCGCCCTTTTCAGTTGTGGTGACGGGCATGCTGCTCAGGGAGATGGCGAAGTGTGCGGGTCAGCCATCGAAACGCCAATGCGCGTCTCTCTGCGTTTCAATCTCCGGAAGCAAAACTTTTGGGTGCGGTCTCCGCATTTCGAGTGTCCTCCAAAGGAACAGGAAAGAGTTCTCCCGGATTGTGGAACGTACAATACGATGGGCATCGACTCGAATATGCTCGAAGCCAGCCGGAAAGCTGTGCGCGCGATGCTAGAATATTTGCAAGCGGAGAAGGGCATGTCTAAGATCGATGCGTATATGCTTTGTAGCGTGGCTGTCAGTCTCCGGTTTGGCGAGGTCGTTGATATGCCGAATTATGCCATCTTCGCGAGTCTTCCTTTGAATGTCTTTGCAAGCAGCAGGCCGGCTACCAATGGAACATGAGACCGTTTCAGCATCCGGATGAGAGCATGAGTGGGAGACCTTGTCTGAACAAGCCTTTCATCGATCTCGAGGCCAAGCTCCATCGGTCATATCTCTGGAATCCAAGGGTTGTTCGACCACAGTGATCAATGGCTGCCTGCACAGGTCGCACTCAGAGAATCAAGAAACCTCACGGATGAGATGATACGAGGTGCGATCCTGACATCAGACGACGTTGCTGACCAGAGAAGAGGACAAAGTGAGTCCGCATAGCAGAACTATGTATTCTAGCAAAGGGAGCTTCAGGGAGGCAGACCAATTCGGCCTGGAGAAGCAAAGAAGTCAGTCAAGAACGTACAGAATGAAGAAGAGAAGAAGTCAGTCAAGAACGTACAGAATGAAGAAGAGAAGAAGTCAGTCAAGAACGTACAGAATGAAGAAGAGAAGAAGTCAAAATCTTGTTGACACCACAAGACATTTTGGAGTCTGGACTCATTATGATCCTTCGGCATCCTCAAGAAGCATGTCCTTAGACCTCATCGCCCTGGGCATTCTTTCCAGTAACCTTCCTCTTACTCTCCTTGCCTTTCGAAGTCGCCTTGGAGCCCGTCCTGCCAGCGACGACTTCTTTCTCACCCGACAGACGTTCTCGCGACTTCCCAGCCTTCAACTTCTTCGCCCCCGTCCCAGTCTCTCCCTCACCCCCTCGTCGTCCCCTCTCAATCCGATCCCAAGTAGCCTTCCTCACCCTCCTCACAAACTCCGGATCCCTCTGAAACCTCCTCTCCCTCTCCGAATTCAACCTCTCCGAATCCCGATGCGGATTAAGCTGCACCTCAACATACAACTCCCGTCCATACACCCCTTCCATCGCAGCATTCAAAAAAGTCCCAACACGTCTCGCAGAATTCTTCTTCCAATTCCACATCTTCCCATCTCTCTTCGCTCCTTGTTGCGGTAACACGAAAACTTCATACTCGACATTATAATTCCAACCTCCTTTGTCCACTTCGTTTTCCAACCCTCTGCGGATGCCTTTGTAGTCGCCTTGGCCGTCTAGGAGCCACTTTGAGAAGTTTTCAAAGGTTTCGCCCGGCGAGAGGTCGAGTTGTCGGTTGAGATCGAGGGGGAGATCTTCTCTTGCGACGTTGTTGGCGAAGTAGACTACTAGGGCGATGTCGTCGTCCGGTTTCTTTTTCTTGCTTTTGGAAGTTTGTGTAGTTTTGCCTTTTGCTTTTGAAGCAGGAGGAAAGGCTCCATCTGTGGGTTGCGGAGTTGTAGGTGGTTGAATGAGGATGTTGTCGTCTTTTTCTTCGTCTTCGAGATGGTTGTAGGCGTCGAGGGACACTTCGCTAGTATCTGTATCGTTCAGAAGCTGGATAAGTCTCTCTCTGATCTTCTTCTGACTCTTGAGACCTGCGAATGCTCGATCTGGAGTGTAACCCTTGACCATTTCAGCAACATTTGTGACACGCTTGCTACGCTCAAAGTGACCAATCGAGATGCCGTTTACGAACCATGAATGTACTGCGTAGTAGTTGATCTCCTTTTCGGCTTTCACCTCGGCGACAATGACAATGTCCATGGCTATATTGCCGTCCTGAGTAGGCTCGGCATCATCATGCCCGTCCCAGACTCCAATTCGTATCAGAGGATGATCGTCGTCCGAATGTGTAAGATCAGGCTTGCCTTCGTTATCTGGTGCCTCTTCATCTTCGACCTCTTCGTCGGCTCCGAGTGACTCCTCTCCATTTTCGGTAGGCCCATCGATGTCCTCGTCCTCGTCCCCGTCGTCTTCGTCTTCGTCTTGTACTTTAAACCGGTAATCACGTCTCATTTTGCTGCTTTTGCTCACTCTCCTCTTGACAACCGGCACAATGATATCATCACCGTCCGACTCGCTACGCCTCTCAACCGCTGTTCCTGGAGTCTTTCCGTCATGAGCTTTCGTCGTCTTACTTCCAGCCGTCCCAGCCTGAGTAGCTTGCTCGAAATGAACCAGATATGTCTCCTCTACTTCATCGGCACCAATGTGTTTAGACTTCAGTTGCTGAAGAGTTCTTCGAGGATGAGATAAATCGCCGCATCGCCCGGGTTCATGAATGCTCGGATCACCTAGATCACTGCCCCCGACCTGAGCGGCCACGGCAGCCAAGAAACTCTTCCACGTCTTCGAGGTTTGATCGGTAAAGTCATACCTGTCAAGGTCCACCCCACCCTGGTTGCTCTCAATGTCTGAATGTCGTTGTGGACAAATCTGCAGGTTCAAAATCACCATTCTGAAAAGAACACAGCTTGACTGTGAGAAACTTGTTGACACGAACAACCAAACTTCAATCGTACAGGAAGCAGCAAGGAGCTTTACATACACATAGACAGAAAGACAAAAGAAAGACATGTTTGCCACCCTCAAAGCCACCAATCCCACCAGATGCCTCAAGACACTTCTCGAAATGCATCACCATCATTCATCCGAGTATTCCGAAGTATCCCAAAACGTCTCATCATCTGAATCATCATCATTCGTGCCCAGCGAAACTTGACGGCGCGGCGGACTCGGAGCCTGCGCTGGAGTAGTAATCGCAGCAGAAGGCCTAGGTGCATTCCTATTCATCCTCTCCCTCCACTCCCGATCCTTAACCCCAGCATCCTCCGCCTCAACAAGATGCACCTCAACATACAACAACCTCTTCCCAAAAGCCTGCACAGTCACAGCATCCAAAAACTCTTCGGCAAAACTCCCATCGTCTTGCCATTCACACATGACTTTCCCGGCTCCGTGGGGTAACACCCAGATGTTGAGATCGCCCCAGTAGTTGAAACCTGAATCGTCGGCGTGGAGCATGTGGTCCAGAGTACCGTAAGTGTCAGAGACGACGTTGTCGAGGATGTAGGATTTGAAAGTGCCGCAGGTTTCCGCGTTGTCGAGGGCAGCGAGGATGTGCTCTGGGAGGCCGAGAGGAGTTTTGGCGAGGTTGTTGACGAACGTGATCACGACGTCGATTTCTTCGTCCTCGTTATTGTCAACGTCGGGATTAAGAGTGCCGTCGAACGGGTGCAAGCTGTGTTCGACACGGACCGGTGCCTCTTTGGGTGCATTTGAAGCGTTGGTTTTCTTTTGATGGAATCTTGTGAAAGCCCATGTTAAGATGGCTTGGGTGAGGAGCTCTGGTTTTCTGGGGTTCCATTTTGGCGCCCAGAAGGGGTCGACTTGTAACGTAACTCGCCTCAAATTGACCTCGGAAGCATTCTGGTAGGCGCCGATTCTGCTGCCGTTGATGTTCCAGGTGTTCACGGACAAGTACTGGACAGATGATTCGCCACTGCCGCGAGCACCACGCGGGTGAATGACAGCAACGAGGATGTCTACCATTGTGGGGCTATCGGTCGGGTCGCCAGGCTCCTCAGCCTCCTGTGTCGCATTGAGCTTGCCAATGCGAACATAACGACGGCCGTCATCAAGATCGAGGAATTTAGCTGCCTTCGAAGGCTGCGACAAGTCGGCATCTGAGGCCTTCCGCTTGCGGCTTTCTTTGTGAAGCTCCTCCAGAGTGTTTTCGTCCTCGGGACGCTCAGTTTCCAGAGTCGGCGACGGCTCAGCTTCTTCCACAGCATCCTCATTGGGCTCTGCGTCTTCAGGTTCCACGTCCGAGAAACCATCTTGATCCAGCAACTGATCCTCACCGGGCGAGGGAGCGCCACGGGAAGATGTCGGGCGTCTTCCTGAACTTGCTCTCGAGCCTGAAGCGCGTGGAACACTCCCATTCCTCTGACCTCTCAAGCCGGAAGAATCCGGGGGCGTTGAATCGTAAGGAGTACGCGGAGATCCAGTGCCCTGTCTAGAGCCTGGCCGTGAGCCCGGAGTCCGCGGTGCGCTCCCACCTCTCTGACCTCTCGAGCTGACGGAGTTCTGGGGCGACGTAGAATTGCCAGGAGAGCGACCAGATCCTGTTCCCTGTCTTGAGCCACTTCCCTGACCTCTCAAGCTGACATACGGTAAGCCATGAGGAGGACGTGGAGATCCTGTCGCCTGTCTTGAACGCGGCCTTGAGCTTGATGGAAGGCTCCTACTCCTCTGACTTCCGCCAAGGGAGGAGTTCAGAGGCGAAGCTGGATTGCTAGGAGTATAAGGAGACGCCGTTGCACGTCTCGACCCAGGCCTTGAGCCCGCGCTTCCACGCTTCTGACTCCCGCCAACAGAAGGCGGATCGCTAGGAGTGCGTGCCCGACTCCCAGACCTCTGACTCCTCTGTTGCGGCGAAATCGAATTGCCAGGCGCGCGCCCTTCCCTCCGCGACAGACTCCCAGCCCCAGACGCGATCCTCCTCCTCCCGGGAGAAACAGGCTCTTGTTTAACCCTCGGACTCGGCCGCGGCAAATCAAAATGCACACTCAACAACCTCTCGCGATTAACATCCGTTCCAAAACGATGCCACTCCCCCTCCCCAACCCAACAATACATGACCTTAAAAGTCTCAACATCCAACCCCTCCTCCCCATCCAACATGACATGTTGCCGCTCCCCACCAGCACAAACCCTCCTCCGATCCCGAACATATCCATCCCAAACCCGATGATGAAAATGCAAAGACGCCCCCACCGGGAAAAAATCCGTCACGTCCCCCTCCATCTGCTGCCAAAACGCATTCTTAATCTCCTCCCAACTCTCACACTCCGTAACATCAATCTCCAAAATGTCCTCGTGTTCGAATTCATCGAATTGACAGAACCGGAATTTCAGAATATGTTTCGGGAGGGCGAGGATCGAGAATTTCTGCGCCAGGGCGACAGCTTTACGTTTTTGAGGGGAAGTCTTCGGTGTCGGGGCACGACCGGTATTGGATCTTTTCTTGGGTCGCCAGAGAGGATTGTAGTCCTTGGGACTTTGGGGGGATTTGGGGAGGGAGTTGGTTTTGTCTTTGAAGTTGATGTGGAGGAAGACGATGTCGCCGGTTGATCTGTCGAGTCCGCGGCCCTGGGAAGCGTATTCGGTGCGGAGAGTTGCGAGGGAGAGGTCTTGGGAACATGGTTCGTCGTCTTTTGTTGGGGCGTGGAAGCTCACGGTGTCGTCTCCGGGTTGAAGCTGGAATCGGAAAAGCTTGCCGTTCTCGGTGTATTCGTTTTTGAAAACTTCGTTGAGGCGAGAGGTGAGATCGCGGTGGGTGGTAACGCCTTTTAGGTCTACGGAGATGGAACGAAGCTTGCGGAATGGATTGCCAGGATGGTGATTGGGGCAGAATTTGAAGCGAAGCTCAATTGGTCCTGCCATGGTGTAGTCTTGTCGATCCTGTATACTTCGAATTCTGGAAGCTGTAGATGTTATTGTAAAAAAGCTTCGGAGCCATGTCTCGGTCAATGGCGCGCATTGTCGAACAAAGGTCTCGCCGGATCTGGACGTTGTTTCGCCGGATGAGGATGTCGTTCAAGATCGTGTACGATAGCACTTCGACACAAAGAACAACATATTGTTCTCTTTGTGCAGCGCATGCCTTTCGCGCCCAATGGTCCAACGTCGATCTCATCAGGTTCATTGCCTCTTCGCTCCGTCGACATCAGCAATGATACAAGGATGTACAGGTTTCCTGATGCATTGCACTTGGAGTGAAGCTGCTTATATTCATTCATACTTCGCTAAGCGCATCTCATTCCGCGCATTAATCTTCTAGTAACTTTCACTCACGCTTCTCGGCTTCACCATCACTGCTGCCCGGCTCTCCGCCATCCATTTCCTTCGTGGAAGCTTCGCTATCGTTGTCAAGAATTTCTTGCTCATGCTCTGGCACGAGACGGTCATCTGAAACCTTCCTTATTGGCCTGAGTGGCATCGTCCTCATCATGATCCCTCGCTTGGCGTTCAGCACGACGCTCGCGAGTGACTCTTCGAGTGAATTCGTTCTTCTGCCTCGATGGAATGCGCCTTCGCCAATCCTCGCCCCACAGCACTCGTCTCTGCAACCTGTCCCGATCGACGCGTGGAATACTCTCCACAGCTTCAACAGTCCGAGGGGCATTCGCGCGAATCTGTCGCTCAGTGCCAACCAATCGCTTCAAGTTTTGGGCCAATTTTTGAGTCCCAGGGTCATTCGAGTCTGTAAGAGGCGTGAAATTGACAGAGTCTGGAGACCATCCGGCCTCCAGACGCTTGATGTCGATCAATGCCCTTCCCAAATACAACATAGTTCGGTACTCAGGTACCAACTGCTCTGTTGGAAAGTAACGTTTTCTCATGTACTGCATACTCTCTGCACGCTCACCTCGGCGAGATCCGTGGCGACTTACGATCGGAATAGGGCGCCATCCAGGAAAGTTGCTGATCATATACCGCTCCGTGAGTGTGAAGGCCAACAGGGCAAGAGGAGGATTAGCAGCCGAACAAAGATACTCAATGAATCGATTCCAAACAACCCTGTGGAAGGTATAGCCTTGAGTGACGAGGCGTGTGAACTCGCGAACCATGTCCGCGATTCGATCTTGTGCCTTCAACGCCGTGATGTAGAGAAGGAAAGGTTGCGAGAGGATATTCCGACGTCCCGGCGCTGGCCGCGGACCAAGATTGGAAGCACCTTTGGGCACGGGGGTTGGTTTCATTGCGAGATCTGGCACGGCTCTTTCTTGTTGATCAGATTTGGCATCTGCAGAGAAGCCAAGCTCAGCACGATCGTCTTGAGACGACGCTTCCACAACAGGAGCGTTGAGCCGGAACGCATGCTCCGAGGCTGGCTCGGTCACCTTATTCTCTGGCCCATCGTGTGAGCGCCGCAACTCAGGCACAGCGGAGGGTGGAGCAACTCTGTCCGCTTGGTCCTTGACCACACGCCAGTAGGCCTCGACTTGTTCGTACTCCTCCGCACGCAACAGTGCGTTCATGAGGCCACTATGGAGGCGAAAGCTTGGCGTCTGTGTTCGCCCGAACTTTTGCATAATCCTCAGCGACTGCTCAAAGAGATTTTTGGCCTCTTCGAGACATCCTCGACCACCATGGATCCAGATGATGGATGCAAACATGTCTCCCACCATGTCTGCAGCTGAGAGACCATGTCCACTACCAACAGACAGATCCCGATCCGAAAGTCCCCGGACCATCCGCTGAAGCTCCGCCATTGCCCCCGGGAGGGATCGTTTCTCGAGTTGTAAAGCATGCTGTGCTACTGCCCTGTCCTGTTTCTGGGCTTGCTGGAGAGACTTGGCCCTGGTGTAAAGCTGTTTAGATCTCGCGCCTGGACGGACGTTGTGCGCAATGAGCTTCTTGTACACGAAGACCGCCCTTCCATACTGTCTGGTGTCAATAAACCCCGTCATAACGGCGTCATAGTGCGCCGCCTGAGGCTGGAATCCTTCGCTCCTCATCACTGTTTTGACAATGAGCCAGGCCGCGTTCGCCTGTCGGAATGCGACCAATGTCCGCAGGAGATAAACGTACGATTTGCCGTTCAGCCGTATGCCCTCAGACTTCATCCATCGGTAGGTGCTCATGACGGCATCGATGTTGTGCAGCGTTGCGTAGTGACCCAGCAAGGCATTGCAACAGCCGGTCACAGAGCCTCTGATTTCGCGCGCTCGAAAGCGCCTGACGGCATCTTTCATTGCTTCCTCGGCCTTCTGTGTTTGTCGAGCATAGCACAGTGCAACGATGTGGGCCTCAATCAGCCAAGCTCGAGCCGAATCTCCGGTCAGATCATAGAATTGCTCGATGAGATCTTCTGTCGCGGGTACATCTCCGCGCCGCGCGAGCATTCTCAACACTCCTGTCAAGGTATCACGATTGGGTACCAAGCCAACATCGTGCACTGCAGACTTCAGAAGAGACAGTGCGCCATCGAGATCGTCGAGACGCGCGTAGGCTGCCAGCAAACTGTTCCAGCACTCTATATCGAGTTCATCGTTGTGTGCTTTGGCTACGGCGCGCGCTTTCTCGAATGCTGTCTTAGCGGACACTAGATCAGAAGCCTCGGCGTGTACAAGAATTCGAGTCCAGTAGGCAGCTTTCTGATCTTCGTACTGGCTGTAATTGCGCTCAAGATACTTGAACCAGCTCTCAACTTGATCTCTGTTTGCATCCCGGGCTGCGAACAGGAGCAATTTATGAACCGCATCAAGTCTTAATTTGCCATGCCATCTTTGCCAGTCGTTTACCACGAAGCCGATAGAAACGTTTTGGATGGTATCTTTGTCAGTGTGCCTGAATAAGGCTCGGCCGCCGCACATCTTCAAGAGTATGAAAAGCAGGTCCTCGTTGAGCTTTGCATTCGGCATTTCGCGATAGCATTGATAGAGGCAGGAGATTATGGGACTTGACCAAGTGTCTCGTGATACAAGTGTGTGAGAGCGCAGGTATTCGTCAAGGAGGTTCAATCGACGAGCCAAGAGCGTTTCGAAGAAATGTGTTTGCTCAGGGGCCCAACGCGATAAGCGATATACCAGGGAATAGAGGTAGTCCCTCTTGGTCTTGAAGGCTACCGGTACTCGATCCTGCAAGGCTTGCTGGCACGCTTCTTTCGCGATGTGCACCCACATGGTAAGCCAGGGCTGTCTCTGATCCTCGGACAAGGGTTTAATGTGCAATGTCAAGCCATACGCAACATCAAGGTTGTCATGCTCTCCGATTTTCACCAGAAAGAGGCCATGTTGTCGAGAGTTACTCTGAGATTCCGAAGCTCTAAAGATTCGCAAAGCGAGGTGCCATAGGGCACGCCGCATGACAACAGAAAACATCGACGATGATAGCTGCGAGACATTCGGCAGATGAGAGACAGCTTCGTCATGCAATGTCAGGGCCATTTCGTGGGATGCTTCCATCTTGAGGAAGGCCTGGCATGCAGACTGGTACAATGCCAGCGTCCTCTGTTTGGGTGGGATCGACCAAAAGAGAGTAACGATGTATGCGAGGACGTCTGTGCTCTGAATTTCCGAGAGCCAGCTCAAAAGTCTTTCCTTTAGGCGTAGGTCATCTCTGTCATCAGACGGCAATGAAATGTAAAGCTTCCACGTCTGGTCAACAAGCTCAGGTAATGCCTTCAGGGAATCTGAGGCCAGAGTGCGGCGCAGGCGGGTGAGGCCTTCGAAGCCTGGGTGGGCGCCTGCGCGATCTTCGAATCTGGCCGCTTCTTCTGTCTTCCGGACTGCATCCACAGACTGTTCCAATGTCTGGTCTTCCGCCAGTTCGGCAGCAGAAATGGCAGTAAATGGATGGTATGAGCTTTCTTCTGACAAAGTACCGAGCCCAGATACTTTCGGTCGCCGTGAGAGCAGCTCGTTAATCGTATACCCGCTCATGGCATCCTTGGCCACCGCGGGCCTCGCCTGCCCATCGCGCTCAGTATCTATACCACCCGGAAGTTGGACTGGACCAATGTTGTTGCTTTCTGCCTGGTGCTTGCCATCTCTTGGTGATCGTGAACCATGCGCCTTCACCTGCCGACCCTGCGATCTCGACGAATAGCACCTTGATGCCTGTACGAAGCCTTCAGGCAAGCGCCTCGCATTTCGCCTCTCCCAGGGCTCCTTGAGCTGGCCGTTGACCCGATTTGCCCAAGCCAATACGTGTGGAGGATATAGAAAATCCAGATATTCACCATCGGGTAGCATGTGGGGAGTCTCGGACTTCTGCTCTCGTGCTGCTCGGATCGTTCTCGCCGACGTGCTATCGTGTCGTAGAGGGAGGTCGTGAGGTGGAGTGGCCGATATGGCATAGGGCGGGAGTCCGAGGTCGCCAGCGCCATACGTCCAGAATGCCTGATGGAGCTGGCGCTGGCTTCGTGCCGCCTTCTTCGCTGCCGACGCACATTTTAGAGAATCTCGGGCTCCAGCTGTCAGACATGCTCCAGCTCGCTCTAGCATGCCCCCCAGACACTCATCACGGGAGCTGTCTGCGTTGGTGGCGCCTTACCGTATATGGAAGCAGTCGCAGCAAGTCGGGAGGAACTGCGACGGCGCTGACTGTTAGAGCGAGGAATGCTTGGTGTAGAGTCGTAGGCGAGGCGCTTCCATGGCAAGCAAGAATAATGTGTGTCGCCAATCGATGATGCGTCCAAACTTCCACTCGCCTCTCCGCGGAAGTGGGCGCGCTGTGGCCTGTACCTGTACTGCATCCACAGCTTCCCAAGCCCATCGCCATTCTCCCTCTTCCATCACCATAACCAACTCCAGCCTGTTGACATGCTGCTTGCCGGGGAATCTGGAGCAAGAATCACTGAGCATTGTTCGAGATGGGTAACATCACCAGCCATACCATCGCCTCACTCCTCCTGCATTTCCAGTCAGACTCCCAGCGTGCCAGGAAGCATAGTGATCGCAGATTGACAATCGCACTGATCGATTGGTAGGCCCGCGCACCAGCAAGCAGATCTTGTGATCACGCAGAAGTATTTGGTGAAGAAATTCTGCACATCTCCATTCCCCTCATTCACTATACACAACACTCTTCCCCCTTGTAAAGAACAACCCGAACCCATGCCCTCTACAGAGACCCAGATCTGCGTACCAAAATGCCTGCTTCAACATCGATAAGCAACACGGCGTCGTCATTTAAACCTCACAAATCCAACCTAGTAAGAAGCCCTACACCCTCATCCTCCAAACCCACAACCATATCGACCTCCAACGATTCCCAAACCGCCTTTCCTGCTACCCATGCACCCGCTACTCAGCCCTCAAGCTCCAAAAACACCCAACTTCGATGTAGATTCGACATTCAACCACATCCGGCGTACATGAATCCCAGAGTTCCCAGGCGACCGCGTGGGAAAGCGGCAAAGACTTCTCCTTTACTGAATGATTGGAGTGGCAGGGCGAGAAGTTGGAGATATGGGTGGCATAGGTTTACGCGGTGGTTTCGGGAGGATGATGATGATGGTTAGATATGATGATGATGAAGCAAGAAGATTTGCGGATTTCCAAGGTTGTGTGTGTTGTACTTTTGTGTTGTGGAACGCAGGACCGAGTGTGAAAATCGTGCAATGCATCTTGGTGGACAGATCTAACCAATCGTTGATATATTTACCTCTCCTATGGGCTTGGTTCTTGTTAGTGATGATCCCACTGTCCTTAGCCTACTTCGGCGTGAACTCAGGCGCCTCGTCACCGGTGTCCTCGTTATTCTTCGTCTTCTCGGCTAGCGTGGACGTGGAAGTAGCGCGCGTGCGCTTCTTGGCGGGCATATGCGTCTCTGGCTGTCGTCGTTACTATCGCGCTCCTTAGGCGTCTGCGCAGGAGCCTTGTTCTTCTTGGCTGGGCGGAGTGCGTCGACGTAGTATTCTTCGGGCACCTCCCACTCGCAATGCGTCACCTGGTACGCAGAATACGTGCTATCATCTATAATCCCTCACCATCTCCTCACACCACCCCACAAACTCCCTACAAATCCCATCCCCACCCTCCTCTTCCCCCTCCAAACACTCCAAAACATCCTCCCTCGGCCTCTCATAGACGTCTCCTCCCCCAAGGCACCACATACCCCCCACCATCATCCATCGTAAGTTCCTCCGAAACCCCACACCACAACTCCGTACAACTCCCAAACCTCGCCTCATACATCAAAAACCCCGCGAGCCACGGCACCAACCAACCAAAACGCCTCGCCCATTCCGCCTTCGAATTTCCAGGATTCTGCGTCACACTCAGCACCCCGGAATCCCGCAATTGAACATGCAAGTCATGCGCGACGGTTGGTGGTGGTGGGAAGAACTGAGAACATGTGGCGCCCATCTTGAGTGGTGGAGTCAGGGCGTTGGAGGTCTGAGATGTTAATGACCTGTCCACATTTATCAAGGAATTAGAGATGAGGTACCGAATATGCACGGTCGGGTAACGCGAGATACCACCTAAGGCTGGCTGTGGTCCAGTTTGCCGATCTTGGACGAAATGGATCCCGTTCCCCTGCTGTCAGGACGGTCGACTGAACGAGAGGCCAAGGACAGCGAAGATGACAAGCCACTGCCTGTTCGGCCGCCTCGGAGCGATAGCCTGTTCACATGGTCGACGAGTTTTCCACTGTTTAATACCCTTCTTGCGGTCAGCGCGGAGACAAACCTGAATTTCTTCGATGGCAGAACACGAGTCGTGATCTTTGGTACGACTGAGGGGATCAGGGCATCCTCAGCCCTTTTAACCTAGAGCGTACATGAGTGGTAAATGTTGGTGATACCAGCTACTTCGAATTGTCGTAGAATTTCGGGTTTCGCGACGTCTTGAGAGGTCGTGGTCGTGGTAGTGGAAGTGGTATTGGCAGCTGGAGCGCAGCTTTCCTCATTCGCTGCATACGCATCTCCAGTGAAGGCAGGAACGAGAGACGTGCAACTGGGTTCATATCGCTCATTTTCAGCTTTTCGCATAGCCCTCTAGCATGTCTGCGCTACACTACTCCGCCATCAAACATTGCCCGGGTCAGGCGCAGTTGTAATTCTGCACCACATCCTGCCCTTCGGCTGTTGTTCTTTCGCAGCAAGAAAGTCCGTCATGAAACCGTTGTGTCCGCCGAACTCCGAGCAACCCAGCTCATGCTTCCTCAATCATCACCATGCACGCAGTTGTCCCCGTCTCGAAGGTCGACTGATCTACTGGTTGGCTGGGCCGCGAGCACCCTTTGGCGTACCGAGCTGGAAACCGTTCTTGAACTTGCGTGGGACGAGCTTGAGCGATCGCATGCGTCCGGAACCGGTGGTCTTTCTTCGCTTGGCCTTCTCGCCCCAGTTGTCTGCGGTGTGTTAGTATCAAGTTTCTCGGCCGTCCCTCTCGCGCTTTCGACTCGCAATGGTGTCGTTGTCGAATTGGGAAGATCGGTGTGAGCAAACGTACACTTTCTAATGCCGGCGCTTGGGTATCCGCAGTTGGCGCAGGTGTGCTTCTGGACGTGCATAGAGCGGCGGCCTGGAGAAGTTCGATCAGCAAAACATCCTCACAACCACAGTTCCCTGCCCAAATTATCCAGTCTTCTCAGTCCCATCCATAATTCCCGTCTCCCGCTGTCCACTCCTGCATTGACTTACCACAGCGTCTGCACAGAACGTGCGACTTGTTGTGGCGCTTTCCGAAGCTGGACGTTCCCTTCGCTGTTGCCCAATGTCAGCATTTTCCGCTCGATCCGTATTTTCTCTGGACGCGGTGTATTCCACGTACTCATTTTGGCTGTGGTGCGAGGGGGTTAGTGTTCGGAGTGGTCGATGGTCGTGTCGCTGAAGTCGCAAGATCAAATTCGCTCGATGTGGAGGGCTTGGCTTGGCGAGAAAGTGCGGCCGGCGGATACTGCCGATTGGCGTTCATTTGAAGGACGCTAGCGGGAGTACGCAAAAAATGGTAATTACTATTTTGCTAAATTTGCTTTACTATTTTACTATTGCCACCACCACCACTATTACCACTACCATTACTATTACTACTACCATTACTATTACTATTACTATTACTCCTTCCTGCGAGACTCACCCCTCACTCTACCAGATCAAGATGCAATGATCTGAATGAGAGCCTCCTCCAAAATAACTATTCTGGCCAAATACGGTCGCAGGTTGAACTTCCTCCTGCAAGTATCTCACTGTCAATTACGGCTTGCAAACGTGCTAGACCTTCCAGTGGAAAGAGTAAAATGGAATTCAGACACTGAGCTACAAGCCCTCAGCCATGAGTAAATGCTGGCTTGCAGCCTACATTCCTCGAATCACTGTGAAGCTCACGAATATGCTTACCATTCCCAGCTCAATCCAGCAAAATGTCAGGCTCTCTGAATATTCTTGAGCCCATCTCTCCTTCCTGTTGTTCCACGAAGTACCACTGATCAGAGAACAGAGAACCTGACATCCCTCAGAATGTATCTCGTACTTCGAGCTAGAATAAAACAGGTCATGCTCGATGCTCTCCAGCACCATGTACGACTTTACGACTTGATGAGGCGGCGAATGCGCTTGAGGATGCTCTGCTTGAATGCAGCCATAGAGTGCCATCATGAATACCCAGGCTAGAGAGTACGAGAGCTTGATCGAAGTCACTTGAACTGAGGGCTGCAGGAGGGCGTCAAGAGAAGCAATGGAATGACCAAGACATGTCTAGAGTTCTTGATCTAGCACATTCGACTTGTTTGCGACGATCTTTTATTCGCTGCCTGGCCAATCTCCTTCGACATCACTCTTCCCAGAGGCGTCATTAGTGGACTTGCGAACGGCAGCCTCAAAATGTCTGATAGCAGAGGTCGATCGGACAAAGGGAAACTCTCAGCAGCGAAGAATACAACTGCACCAGGTGGTTCTTTATTGCCAAATACCAACGGCGAAGAACGCGAGCCAGCGAATGAAGCATCGGCTGAAGACTTCCGTGCCTTTATGGAGTCTGACGATGCAGAAGATAATATCCTAGAGACTAGCGATGATGATGAGCTTCCCAAACCAAAAGGCAAGGATCGCAAGACTACTGCGGCCGCATTATTCTCTTCGTCAGTGTCAACAGGGGCTGGTCAACCTCCGCCAACAAAACTTCGCTGGTCGCAAGCCAAGCATGATGAGGCGAAGTCGAGGACCCAGAGCAAGATAACACAGCAGAGCCCTAAACCCCGTCAGAACCAGACTGCACATAACCCGCAGTCCTCATCGTCAATCAACGAAGGCTCTGCTCAGGAGGATAACGCTGCGAGCGACGATCCGGTCAGCCCTGTGGACTACAATGAGGCAAGAAAGCCTACAGCCAAGGAATTGGCCAAAATTCCATGCCGCAAATGGTACAAGAAAGACGTGAAAATCACATCTTTCACAGGCGTCGAATGGTCTACGCCGACTTTCAAAGCTGCTGCGCCAGGTCAAGGTCAAGCTTTCGAAGTTCAGCCTGGAGACCGCAAGACGAAGTCGGCGAGTGTAGAAGCCGCTTCTGCAGCTAGGACGGAGGAGGACGAGCAAGAGGCTGTGGGTGATGGAGCCGAAGCTGATGATGATCTGATCAAGGATGAGGAGGATTCTGAAGGTAGTTCCGAAGAACGATCAGACTGAGGTTTGAAAGCAGTAGTGTGTTGCAGCTAGCGAGAAGATGAAAGTTCACTACACTTATTTATTGTTTCCATCGTTGCATCGTCGACCAAGGCTGTAGATATTGATTCACCCATTCGTCAAAATTGATGGCTTACTCATCCCTGTTGCTTGGCTTGGCAGAATTTAGACTTCACGCTTCCAATGGCTTCGACTTCATCTCTCTTTGTTCTATGTATGTGAAAGAGTCTTTCTTACAATAGCAGACAGTTTGTCGTTTGCTGATGGCATTGTTTACAAGAGCAGACCAGCTGAACCTCTTCTTCACCCATATATCATATGGTCCCTGTCCAAATCCTGGCCATCTTTTAACTTTGAGCAGTTGACAGAGCCTCATCTCCTGTCGCGTTGAGACGCGTCTTTCACATCGATTCTCCTTTCCCTTGATGGTCTTCCCAAAATGCATACACATTGGCTGTACGTGTATAGTCGCTGTGCTACCGGTGTCCGGAAGTGATTTGCGGGCCCCTTGAACAAGATGGGTGTACATCAGTATGTATTTCCCTCCTCTCAAGGACCACCGAGCTGACAGTCTATGGACTCTGGCAAGTAGTGGAGCCTTTGAGCAAGACCACCAATACTTCCCTCACAGGTGAACCAACCATGGTCCAGATCAAATATAATGCCCTGGTTGTGATTCCGATTGACTACGATGGAGAGTGCCGGGAGCCATCTGACAGGAAGAGGAAGACATATGATCCCAAGAACGCCAAAGATCCGTACAAGCCATACACTGTTGACCTTCCGGAATTCCTGCTCGAGCTAGGAGCGCCTCGCTGTCTTCGGGATACGCGTGTTGGGCCTGCGAGTAAGAAGAGGCAGGCCGGCTCTGATCCGGGGAGTCGCCAGCCCAAGAAGCAGAAGCCTACTGGCGCACGAGTCGCTCTGAACAGTATACCCCAAGTTGCCAATCGCCTGGTTCGGACGCCTGCTCTATCGAGAGCCACCCAGAAAGTTGCTCCTAAACCCAAGATGGCTCGCCCTCAATGCATTGTCCGCAACAGGGCGATTGAGACCATTGACTTGACAGATGAGTGAATAGGCTGCGGCCTTTGTCTGCCATATATAAGAATGTGATTGTTATGCTGTATACAAAGAGGAGGCTGAAAGTTAATGGGCCTCCTGACGCTGAAGCGCTTCACGAGTCTCGTTTGCTCTTGCCTTATAAGGGTTAACTTCCGCTTCCTGTTGGTGAAGTCACCCCGACAAACGCGTACGAATCGCACACCAAGCTTGAATTCAGAGCTTGATCAAAACAACCTCAACATCGCGATTCTAGTCTGCACACTCGACACTCAAAACAATCGTGCGCAACACCAGAACAACATCCTCGTGCCGACATGGAGCCAATCAACAACACTGCAGATACTGCCGACATGATGGAGATTGACGAGCAGAGCACGCCAATGCGGCCAACCCTAGCTGCTGCTGCCAATGTACAGTACGACCAGGAAATGCTCGACGCAGAGGCGTTGATCATGCAAGGCGGTCGAGGCGCAGAGATGGAAGAAGCAGATGAGGACAAACATGTCGCCGGCGACGCAGATTACGATGAGGACCCGCTTGCAGACCTCGAGGCTGCCGCCGCACGAGATGATCTCCCTGCAGATGGCGACCTCGGAGACGTCCTCACTGGTGAAGCAGCCGCCCAAGAAGATCCTCCTGTCTTCATGCACATCGTGGAGAAGACGGGCAGCAAGTTCATTCCAGCAGAATACGACCCAAACGCAATCCAAGTAACGGTCGACTACAACCACATCGTCGCACGAATTGCGGATAATGTGGCGAGACCGAACCTCGACACAGTCCACCTCGCTCAAGGACTCAGCGACGAGGAGATTCTCCTCGGCCATGTCGCACACCCGGACGACATCGCGGGCAGCCTGCTACTTCGCCTTGCACCAACGCTCAGCACCATGGAGCTGGCAGAGCGAGTCAATGCCCTGTACCACTGCTGCAAGCTGCAGCTCAACTCCAACAACGCGTTCACGCAGCGCATTGCTCTCGCTGGAGACGCTCTCGGTCGCCGAAACGGTTGGTCGAAGCAGCAGACCACAGCAGAGAAGATTCGCGTGAAGAACCTTCGCCCCAACGCCCACTCGACGGCCATTCCGGTCCGTCAATACACCTTCCTGAACCGTCCTGCTGGAGGCGAGGCTGAGGAGAAGACGCGCTGGATCAAGCCCCAGATGCGGAAGGACGCTGGCCCTGACGCGAAATCTTTGTCTTCTCGAAACCGCAAGTCTACTGCGCGCGCCCCCATCTCTCAGCCGCCGCCACAACAGCCAGTACCAGCTGATCAGGCCGATGACGAGGAGCGGGCTGCAGAAGAGCCGAGTGACAATGAGGAGGCGTTCACCGATGAGCAGATTGAAGCCGGCCAAGCTCATCACGACTCAGACCTCGCTGCTCTTTACAAGAAGCATGCTGAGCAGAAGGAGGAGTTTGCCGAATTGGAGCGGCAGCTCAGAGAGAAGGAGGACGGTGACGACGTTTGAGTCGCATCACATGTGAACGGCGCGGCGCAAGCGAGGTGAAGTTTGCGTCACAACAAAGCGGAACGCCCTGGCAACGCCGCCAGCTCTCGGTTGCCACGCGCGCGCAGCAACCCACGCGCAACTCATCGAATTCGCCCTGCTCGCGCTTCGCCAGTTCAACACCACACAATCACGATCATCCTCACCAAGCACACGCCGCTTCAACGACAAGCTCAGACAACATCATCCGTCACCAAAATGGAGCGCTCCGAGCGCTACCGTCCGCCAGCAGGCGAGCGCGGCCCTGCTCTCAGAGCCAAGCTGGCAGTGGACACCGCAGCGTCCCAAGATTGACATCTGTTTCTTCAGCGTGGCGTTGGCGGTGGTCTTGTTTGCTTTCCTGTAACACCATGGGCATTGTGTTTCAACGGAAGGACTTTTTGTAAAAGCTTGCGCGAATCACGCGAGCTGGGTAGTCTCTCCTGGCGAGAGACACCCCCATGCATACAATTGTAGTTTTAGCCACGGACATGAATTTCAAAGCTCACGAAGCTTTTCATGGGAAGATCCTCCATCATTCCACTTTCCTAGAATCCGCTTCTATACGAGTGCGGGCTCTGAGGTGTTCATTGTACAAATGTATACGGCAGCTCTTGAAATGGAACGAGAAGAGACGGTAGTGAGATGTCGTCAATTTTACCTTGCCGGACGAGCACTGGAGTTCTCCTCGCGAACAGGTAGTCTATGCATGTCTCTGCTTTTGCCGTTCTTAATGCAACGTCTCTCATTGTGCGAAGCTGTTGGCGTGAGGCTCCACTACATGTAGTATGATCATACCTGACTTCATGTTTCCATTGGAGACATTGTACTCCGCAACCCATTGTCTTTATGTTTCGTTTTGGACAAGTAAGTTGCAACAAGCGTGACGCGTGAGACGGGCAGAAGATGCTATATTCTCTCTCTCCATGAAACGGGGTACTATACTGCTGTCTCCTTTTAGAAGCTCCGTGGATGCCTTAGGTTCTGCTAAGGAACCGGCTCCAGCGGAGCGTCTAACGACAAATAGTAGGAAGCGACTGTATATACTATAACCTGCCATTCTATTAGATAGCATTTAATATATAACTTTACATATATACAAGTTCTCGCAAATGTCTCTTTAGCGGATTGTGCATTTTGCGACGATATATATAGTAATTAGAAAGTATTCGCAAGAAGCGTAAAACTACATTATATATAGACCTTCTTCTATAGAAATCAAACTAGCTTAACTTATGTTTATAACAAACGACTATATAGAATAATAACTACGCTACCGAGTAACCTTAAACTTAGTAGACATTAGCATCGACATCCGTAGATTCTATTACCGTTACCCGCTTAGTTATATAGTATCGCGTTATTAATTGCCGCATTACCTCCGCTTACTATTCTAAATTCCGAGTCGTAGCGACTATATTCGTACCTTTTCGATTTCCGCTATTCTAACGATATAGATCGACTCGGTATACCTTAGAGGGTCGGTTGCTTTAGCTAAAGTTATCGGAAGTGCCCTTTCGCTCGAGGAACTAGCGATATTCTACTATCCTATAGAAGCATCGATATCTTCGGTATCGGTCGATCGATTTCCGCCCTTCTAACTATACTAACCTTCTCGATATATCTTAGCGACTCTAGCGTATACGTTTAGAGGTCTAGAATAGGCCTAGTTGCTTCTCGCTTCGTCTAGATCTATAGCGGCAGTATTCGAGTCTAGCGATAGTAAAAGTAAAAGATATAGGCTCTACTTTTCCGGTATTATTACAAATACGTAACGCGTATATCTAACTCTTTCTCTTTCTTCTACGCTTTAATAACTCTAGCCTCGAATACCCTTTAACCCTCTAACCTATTAACCTATCTCTATAATTCGACGACACTATAGCTCCTCCTAGTCGAGGTAGAGGCGGCGGTAGTAGTAGTAGCAAGACTAGCAAGTACTCGCACTTAGGCACTAAGGATCGCTATAGGGCGGTAAAGGCGGATAGAGAGGCGCGAAAGAAGCAAGTATAATAAGAAGAATAAGCTACGAAGCAGGCTACTAAGGTCTAGCGACGTAAGAAGGATCTAAAGCGCCTACTACTAGGAGGTCGACGCGCTATTAATCGCTATAACCCGCAATTCGATATCGTCGCCTATCTACTACTTCCTCTAGACAACTTACTACCTTATATATAGCATGCCTACTTCGAGGCGCGTATAGAGTATATACGCGACGATAAGTACCTCCTTAAAGAGATCTAGCTCCTAATGTAGGATATAGCATAGTATTACGATAAGTCTAAGTATCTATAGGAAGAAATAGTGCGCCTTAGTCTCTTAGTAGTATTATTAATGCTATATCTATATCGCATCCTAGAACCCGAACCTCTATAGTAGCAAATCGATATATTCTAGTCGCTCTTCTTTAGCTAGTAGGATGTTATATATCCGGCTGCTACTAGCTCTAGAAAATTATTAATCTACTAGGCTTTCGCTCTCCTAACCGGTATAGCTATATAGCAAGTAGTAGTCTTAACTCGGATCGCGGACGAGTAGGGCGGTAATATCAAAGAAGCTATACGCTAGTTGTCGCTATAGGAGTAAGGACTACTTAATGTCTGTATCCTTATAGCAGATAGTAAGCGGCGCGATCTGTATATACTCGTAGACCTAAAGGTAGGCCGGTACTACTACGTCCTCTATAGCCCTAAGTAAGGTATTACTCCGGAATTTTAAGAGGTCCTACGCTCTATAGCTCTATCCTTAGGGTTGATCGTATACGATAAGGCACATCTTCTTTATCGGTAGCTAAACTTCCGAGTTGCTTTTAGAAAGATCGCCTTCCTTCGCGACCTCTACGATATATATATACCTACTATCGCGGCCTCTACTACTATACCGAAAGATGTAATCGATTACCTAGTTAAGAGTCGTACTATTCGTCTAATTAGAGATAAGCCTCTTTAGAGCATTGTCTAGCGCAGTAGCATTAATCGCCTAGATACGATATATATTATTAAGCCTCTACCGAAGAACAAGTTAACATCCTTTAAGTTCTAGTACTTCGTACTAAAGTATACGATTAACGAGGAAGGCTGCGGCATACCCGACCTAATCTAGAAGACTCTTATCTTTGTCGACGGCCGCGTAAGCATTAATCGTGCCTATCTCCTAATGCGATCTTAGTTAGTAGATCTAACTAAGGACATCGACCTAGAGCTAGCAGAGTATAAGTATATATAGACTAGTGTACTACTTATGCCGAGAGGAAAGCTAACTATTAATATTCGAAAGGTAATCTCTTTCTATACGGCTTATATCGCGCCGCTAGATAAGGACCTCCGATACTAGGAATTTAAGAAGCTAGACTTACACATCCGTATTATATAGGGCACGCTAGCTACTGCGACAGGTACTAACATTCCGGATATCGAGATCGTTAGACAATAGGGTATTCCTATTACAAACGATATTCTCGATCTAATATAGAAGCTTAGTCGCGGTGCGCGTCTGCTAAATATTAAGGCTCTTGCGGTGTTTATATTGCCGTATTAGTACGATAATAGACAGGGCCGTGTTCTACTAGAGAAGCGCAGCTATATCTCTATAATCAATCCTTATAATAAGGACTAGGCTATTCTATACCGAGAGTAGGCATATCTTCTATCGAATCCTAGCAGCCTCCGCAATATAGTAGTCTCGGATAAGATTAAATAGGTTCTAGGCGAGGAATTCGACGACTTCTCCGAGGACATCTTTAATATTATAAACTAGCTAGATAGTCTAGATAAGCACGATAATAGAGAAGGCATTACGGTCCGCGTACGTCGTACTATAGACGAGGCTACTATACATCCTAGGACAGCCGTATATAGAAGCGGCGCTAGTGCCTTTAACGATACTATAGATAGTGCAATCGTAGACAACTCTAATATACCGAAATAGACTTCCGATAAGATAAAGAGCCGAGAGAGCGCATCTCCTATATTTATACGTCTTATTAATATACGCTATTATCCGGTAAAGGGTTAGCGCTAGTGCTTTAGGGCTATTATTAACGAGTACCTTAGAGAAGGGGAGTGTATATACCTAATCCCTAAAGGCAAGGTCGTATAGGGCAAAGATACCTGCTATAGTATATACAACCCGGACTTGCTAAAGAAGCTAGTATAGGATAGTTACGAGCCGCTAGCAGTACCTCTATTACCGCAGAAGCCGAGAAAGAGTAGTCTATCGGGCTATACTCTAGAGTATATCGAGGAATGGATTTCTAAGTAGGCTAAGCGCGTATTCGATAACACTATCTACGAGAGCCGGAACTGCGACATTCTAGCAAACGTTATAGTGCTAAAGTATAAGCTATAGAACCTTTGCGAGGTCTTTAAGCCTGCTAAGGACCTATATAGGGACAATATCGACGCGGCTGTCCTTAATAAGCGAGCACTAGCGTTTATAAAGTAGTATAAGAAGGATTCGGATAATGCGAAGGACATACCGCTTAACGATATACTTAGTATGCTAAATAGCATTATCGATAATGTGTATAAGAAGCGCAAGAAGTACTTAGAGCGCGTAGCTACGAATCGCGAATAGCTAAAGCGCTAGAGAAAGGAGGCAGAAGAGGCGGCGGCGGCTGTAGCGGCTATAGTAGGAGATACTAAGCTACTAGCCGGTCTAGCTAAAGAAGAAGAGACCGCTCTAGTTAAAGAGACTGCTAGGGACCGGCGTATATTAAACAAGCAGCAGCAGCGTAAGTCCGGTACGGCTACTAGTACCCTTCGCAAAGACCTAGCTAAGAAGCGTGCTACGGCTACTAGTCCTATACTAATACCGATACTAACGCTATTGCTATTGCTAGCACCTAGAGCTCCGCCTATAGCATCTGTAGCTAGTCCGTCTCGACCTCGTCTAGAAACAGGAGATAAGCGTAGTGCTAGTAGAGTTACCGATACTTAGAGATAGATACTAAGCGCTCGTGCTACTCCTCGGCGTCGGACCGG